AGAGAGAGAGAGACAGAGAGAGAGAGAGAGAGAGAGAGACAGAAAGAAAGAAAGAAAGAAAGAAAGAGAGCAGGGCGCTCTCCTCTTGTCCTTGTCTTGGCTGGGCCCTGAACTCTGTGGCTGGGCTCCGTGTCCGGGTCTTGTCCTCCTCTTGTCCTTGTCTTGGCCGCGCCCCTGAACTCTGTGGCTGGTCTCTGTGGCCCGGCTTACTGGAGAGGAGTGTGGAGAACAAATAGCGATGTCAATGCCAACAAAAATTCATTCATGAAGCAGTTTGCTCTTGGAGTGAAAGTCGGGCGCATCAAGAAATCGATTTTCGACTAATACTGGTCTAAACGAATCGTTTTGAAGCTGTTTGGGGTCTATGCTTGTATAATCTTACAGCCCGGTCCCAGATTTCATTATTACACTGTTACACCAAGCAATAAGTTCCGTGATCTGGTCAAGCCCAAAACGTATGGGCAACTCTTGCCCACCACAATACCAGCGGTTTTTCAACCAACGTAAGTTGCGTCGGTGTTCTCGGACGTATAGTGCTTCTTTAATCAGGGTTCCTTCGAAAAATGTCGGGCTGAAAAGCCACCTCTTGAGACGATGTTTGGGTTGGCCAAATTTGACTATGCCCATTAAGTGGCTAGGAACATCCGAATGCAAACATGGCTAGGAACAAGGACCCTACGAACGGAGCAAAGGGCATCGCGACGAACGGAGCAAGGACGCTACGAACGGGGCTCCTGGCCTTACTATATACTAGGAACAAGGACGCTACGAACGGAGCAAAGGGCATAGCTTCCATGGCTGACTGCGATGATGCAGCTTGGACGCTCGTTCTTCCGCCGCGCGGAGCTCGCTATGTCGTGGAAATTCACCCGGACAAGAGTGAAAATGGCCACGCTATGTAACACATCTTCCCGCCCAAACTCGAAACTGCATATGCTCTTGCCTCCACATATGCAGAAACGATCGTTTTGGTGTTGATTTCTTGTCGTTCGGATGTTAAATCACCATGGCCACGCTATCACCATGTTGAATCACCATCTAGAATGAGCCAAACCGAACGGCAGCGTGCCTCATGCTCTACACATACCAACTTCCACGTCATGCCTCAAATCAGGAACTTACGCCCGTTCACGCTACAAAAAATGGTTCTCTATCTACATGTTGCAGGGATTACTAACAAAGTTCAACAAAATATCGATACACAAATCCTGCAAGGCCACGCTTCCAAACAACCCTCAACGCTGCCTGCTGGCCCTGCAGGAGCTCCTCCCTTCGGGTCTCCTAGAAAACACGCGCTATGGGCATTGGAAGAACCTTACAATTGTGGTAAATAACTGATTTGTCAAGCGGTTTCATGTATCTTAGATTTCAATCTAGCGGTTTCTGCATTTGGTGACCTTTGGCAGGTAGCATGTCTCTATCAAGGGTTGTCGATGGTTGTGCATATATAGCATGGACACTAATCAATGCCGTGAATGTTAATGCAAAGCTGAAGAGCATCCCCCAGCATCTTGCCTTTCCTTTGCTGCCGCTGTCTGCTCTCATTTTCGGTTTTCACTGGGTTTTGCATGAATTTCTGCTCTGATTGAAAAACCCCACAACATGACACTAAGGCCATCTTTAAAAACACCACAACACCCGCAAAATCAGCTTTCAACAATTTCAACAGGATTTCTTTTTCCAACCACCCAGAGCCTCTGGGACATTCAGCTGTCTTTGCCTCACCGTGTTGAGGAGTCCTGAACTTTCACCTCGTCGAAATCCCTGAACGAGTGGTCCACAGCCCCGGACAACGAGTTGTTCCAGCGATTGTGGCTCAAATGACTCAAATGTTCTCAAACGCGGCATGTGGTCAGTGCCGTGTCCCTGCCACGTCAGATTTCTGGCGATTTCTGGTCTCTGCCGTGTCTCCTCAATTTTGGAGCGCTCCCTTTCCATCCCTGGCCATATTCAGAGTTGTGATCATGCTGATGAGACCACCCTCACTTTGTCTAGGTCCAGTGAGTGGGGTATGCGGGGACAACAACTACACGGTTGCAAGGTTGTCCATGAAAAACATTGAGAACACGTTTAGGAAACTTACAGCAGTCTCTTGCGGGAACTCTGCGAAACTGATTATCAGCAAACACCAATTGTCTGGCAAGCTTTTGCTTTACCACCATGAATCACGTGTAGAACAAAATGTCGTCATTACAGTCATTACAGCTGAAGCTGCCCACTGTTGACACAATAGCTGGAATCAATGAAATTTGTATCACATGTGCAAAATCCTAACTCCTAACTCAAGGTGGTGAAGTTAAGCGGCCAGCTGCTCAAAGTTGCATGTTACTCTCACATCGGCACTTTTCCAAAGTCCATGCTCCACGGCTGGCCAGTCAAATATCGTTGAAACCCCAAAATTTTGACATTGCCTTGACTGGATGAATCCGACCAGCCATTGGATGCTTCTTGCTGGCAACCATAAGTATATAAATCCACTTAAAAATGCATCACTGGCATGCAAACAGCTACAAGTACATACACATACATATTTAACCTATATAAATCCTTACAGGCGCCAATAGACTTCTTCCTGTAACTCCACCCTGTGTTGTTCTTTATCATCCTTTATCAAACAAGGGGTACAGTAGCAGGAATCGTCTTCAACCAGAAAGTGTTAGTTCTGAAGAATGCGCTGGTCTCTTAACCGGCTGCAGCTCTCAACCCAGCACCTCCAATCGTGTTTTGCCGGGACTGTGAAAGCCCACGAAAGCAGGTCACTTCTGTTCACCAAAAAATGAAGGAGAAACAACATGAAACCTGAAACAACGAGTGTTTCCTGAAGGCAGCTTGAAAATGAAAATGATCCATGTTCCGCATGTTCCAAACATTTCATCACGAAAGTGGAACAACTATGCTCACGGCCAAATCAGTGACATCAAAAAACTACTAGTGATGGCCTCCAACCTACTAGCCTCCAACACCATTGGGAGGATGACTTGAATTTCATGACTCACCGCCCGACGGTCGCCGCCGCCGAGCGGGGGGGCCTTCCACACGCACACGGCGCTCATCCCTCGCTTGCCTTGTCCGGAGCGCCGTGTCGTCCGGAGGTGCAGCAAAGGAGGTTCAGTTGAGCTCCAAACACTCTGGATGCGCATTGACCTCGTGGGTCTCATGGGTTGGCCTTGCTGGAAAGATGTGTTCCAGTCTTGCTTGGTAGTCCTGCATAGTCCCCGAGATTTCCATCCATATTCCAAGACCTGGTCACTCGACCGAAAGAGCTCTTTCTTAAGCTTCTTCCGAGTGTCGTGAAAATCTTCCCACACCACAGACCGGCAGGCAGGCAGGCAAACAACGGGACGAGAGAGCGAGAGAGAGAGAGAGAGAGAGAGAGAGTGAGAGAGAGAGAGAGAGTGAGAGAGAGTTACCAAACATCTTGCGTAGAGCCACCACGTGGTACTCCGAAGTATATCAATCCTTTAAAATCCTTTTGACCCTTTTGTGGCTTGCTATACTGACTCTTGGTCGGACTCAAATGTCTTACTTAACAAAGTAAGTTGAGTCTGAGTCCATCTTTGTGACATAGTATAACTTATATAGTGCCAACAAGAGCTGGTGACTGGTGAGATGGTCTACATATGTCATCATATGTCTACATGCATCAGGGCCAGCACATCCCCATTCATCCGCACGATGTATCCGGGCTTGCCTCGTCAAAGAAGTGGCCAACACGCTATCGCGATCGCACTCTTGCTTGGCCTGCGTTCAGTGCGCTGAACAACCAAACCTTCTCAACGCTGTGTCTTCCAAAATCGAATGCTTTTTGGCGTCTGGGCCACGAGGCGAATTGTGTGGTAGATGCCCACCCACTGCTCCTGCCAACCTTTTGCAGCAGCAAGCTGTGTGGTTTTCTACACATTTAGAAGGTCCTTGTTGGGCACCATGCAGCATAATCTAAGCTGTAGACATACAGTAAACGATTTGGGAGTGTATTTTGACAATAGGCGACCGCTTTGGTCCAATGGATAGACTGATAATGTGGAGACTTTGGGAAGGGGTCGAACTCGAAGGTTTCCCTATTTCATTACACCCCATGACACACGCTTATTCACCAACAACACATTGACCCTTGCACCTACTGTAATTCTTGGCCTCACAGTAAAGGGACAACAAAAACTCATTGTCTTGGTGGTCCCTTCATTGATTCATTGACGTACCCGTTTAAAACCATTATTGGTCTCTAGTCACAGTCTGCGTGGCCTGCTCATGCAGTTGCCGCTCATTCTCCAGCATGGTGCCATAGCGCTCTCGCATGGTGAAGCGCGCTTGCACCTGCAGTGGCGCATCCGGAGTTAGCTTGAGTGAAAGTCTATCCTCCCCGAAGTACAGACTCGTCTTACTGCTGAGACCTCAATAGAAAGCGAATCCTCTTGAAATGGTACCGCAAAACTTCTGTAGGCGCGTATACATATGGCATCATATGGTCATATAGTTGACACATTGCTTCTAATCACAAGTCTTCCAAATTGCGTCTGTCTCTATCTCTGTATGCAAACAACAAAAGTTGAAGTTTCAATTACAGTAACCAAATCAAGTGGTGTGTGGGCAGCTGGCACACCGCACACAGTGGCCCAACCAACGCAAAATCGAATCATTCACTTTCTCCAGCACCGAGGTTTTATGGAGTTTAGTTTAATGCTGCTCCCCCTATTTTGAGACAACCCCTCATGCCATGACTGTAGCATGAGCACCTGCGGCTCCTTCCCATCATCGCAGTGGGAACCGTCTTTCATTATCACAATCCCAAAACTCTTACTCAGCAACCCTGTCACCTCCAAGAAACCCAGCTTGTTGACCTGGACCACTGGAAGCGGAAATCACATCTGTGGATATGTCGGAGTCTCCTCTGTCTCGATTCTGGAAGCCGAATCGCCAAACGGCCCACGTAGCGTCTTGCTCCTAGTAGAAATGCCGAAATGCCCTTTGCTCCATTCGTAGCGTCCTTCCCCTGCCTGAGTCGCCAAGTTCCGCTCCAAGACCGAAATCACCTCCTGCGCTTTCTGCCGCCCTTCGGCGTCCGCCGTGGCGCGGGCCTGGGCTGGCTTCGGTTTGGTTTCGGTGTCTCCAAGGGGGAAACACGAGGTCAAATCGAGCTGAGGGTACCTGTACAGGCACTGCAGCGTTTTCCGGAAAACTCTGAAATCGGAAGTTGCCGCTCGGTTTGCGAATATGGGAACGGGATGGAACGGTTGAAACATGTAGATCACTATATATATATATTATATATACGTTCATATATTGAAACACATGATGGGTCCAAATTCTAGCATCTTCTAGCCATCTCCGGAGTTCAAACAATAATATACAGTAGGGGTGGGTCACACCTGAATCTTCAAGGATCTTCAAGGACCAAGCGAGCATATTGTTGAGCCACACCAGTTTCCATACCAGAGCTGGGGACATCGGACACTCCAACATTCCAGGCCGAACTGACCCGATCGCATGATCTTGTTTAGCGTAGCGAAAGCGGGCTTAGCGTTCCATGCGAAACGGTTTCGGTGAGTTTGGCTCCATGTTTGGTGTCGTGATGTTACTTCTTCACGGTGGTACAGTATCTCCACGCATGCCACACTACGCAAACAGCTGACAAAGAAGCAGCAAGTTGGTTTCATGGAACATAGCAAGCACCCTGGCCATAGACCCGGAATCTAGGGTCTAATGCTCCACAAACAAAGAACAACAATGAAGAAGCGGTTTGCCTTGGGCCTTGGGCCAATCCTCTCCCAATCGATGATGATAATGACAATAGCATTTTTGTTCGCCAAGTTTGATGTCAAAAAACTCAAAAAACGGAATGATTACATACCAAGTCTGACCAGCTATCACTGGGAATACGTATCTCAGAGTCCAACTTACCTGGGCTCACTCACCCTTCTCCTTCTGGGTTCCGCCGACCCGCTGCTCCGCCGCGTCCCGCAAGCGCTGCTGGCAAAAGCCCAGCAACTCCTGGGTGGCTCAGCGCTGCTTGCCCAGGGAAGCTGAAGCTGATCTCAGAAAGATCCATTTTCCACGCCCATGCTATAGAATGACTAGCAGCGTTATTAACCCGCGAGATCTCTGGGCACAGTAACCTGCAGCAGAATGCAAGATTTTGTACGTAGGCAACCTAAAACTTGAATGGAACACAATGAGCCTGTTGAAACTGGATGACGAACCCAAGTGGCCCAAGTGTCCTCCTTAGTCTTATGGCACGGGTCTGTTCGACCCATACCTACCTGTTATTTGACCTACCAGCCCTGGGAAATCTGGTGTAAAGCTTGGCTCCACATCTACCTCAAAATTCAATTGCTTCTTCACTTGCCAAAATCACTTTAGCTTCTTGTGTCATCTGTCAACATGTTAAACTTGGTCAGTAACATTGGCAATTTGAGAAGAAACCACCTCCCCATCCTTCCCACTCCGCCTCTCTCCCTCTTTCTCGGTTCACCTCGCCTGGGACTCTTTGAGGTGTGCCTCGGCAGCCGCCTGGGAGCGCTGGAAGCGAGCTGGCACACCTGGCCTTCAACTCAACCAGAGTAGTTACACCAACAACATGAACCAACTACTACAGGACGCAAAGCGGACATTGTTAAAGTTCATTTTGAGGGAATTCTAGCCTTTTTTTCGGACTTTGGAATCTCTTTTTATCCCCTGTACAATTCACACGACAACTCCAGGAGGGCATTTTGTATCTGCAAATGCCTCACCCCAGGTCCAAACCAACCAATCCATCTATACAATCAAGCCCCCCAGGATAGAAACCTTAAGTCTATAATATTGGGTTGGGGCTCACGGAATTTATCAGAAAAGTGCACTCTTATAAAGCAACCCCTCCAAGAAAGATGCTTAAGCAACCGTCTAAAATGGGTTCTAACCCTCTACCAAATTATGGTGGGTGGGTGCACATGCTCGAGTCAACGGAAACATATCAACAAGTATATATAAATTGCTTCTATAAAATGGACCCTGCCTTGCAAATCATGTTTTTGCTAACATCGGCAAAAACTCTACAAATCAGGAACACCCAGGACAGTGATTGAAAACCAATATTATCTCTACAACAGTACAACATGGTCATTTCCAATATTGACCCAATTTGTAGAGGACATTTTACAGGGGATCTTATTTTTACTCATTCTTTGTCCACACCCGCCCAATGGCCTGCCGGGCGCTGCTCTCGCCTTCGCGACCTTGGCTTCACAACAGCACGCGGGTTCGAACAGAACCCAGCAGCTCGTTCGCATCCTCATCATCCTCGTCTTCTCCAAGCGCTTTGGGTTGTCGAGAAAGTGAACCACAAAGGGCAAAACGTTCCCTCCATGTTCACAAATGTTCACTATGTCATGTCAAGTTCCAGGCAAACATTCACACACGCAGGATCACCATCCTAGCATCATTCTGTCTGATATTACCTATGTTGTTTCCCAGAGTTGAAACCATCAGCCCCATGGAGGAGTGAAGGTTGGCGTGCTGATGTGTTTTGTCTCGCAGTCTCGCCTGAGCCATCCTCCAATTTACATTGAAAGTCGGGTTCTTCGATGATAGAAGAATCCCAGAATTTAACAATATATATTCGGAATAAGTTGGTTTCTGATCTTTTGGGCAAAGGGCTTCCCCTCCTATCTCTGAACTTGGCTCCTCAATTATACCATGAGCCCGTCCGAGCTCGGCACTCACCATGAGCCGGCGCTTCTGCTGCGCTTCGCCTCCAAACAAAGCGGGAAGTGTGACAGGCGCCCTGGCTTTGGGCGGTCCTCGATCACTCCTTTTGAACGTAAAGTGATCGAACGTCTGTGTAGTCAGTTGAGAAGGAGAGTGTGAAGAACACTGAGCCGCCCCGAAATGTCCAAAAGCCATGGCTCGAAGGATTCAAGACAGCGGACTCAAGATGACTCAACCTGGTTGGAGTTGTTCATATGCTGTTGACTTGATGACAAATCCTCCTACCAGCCCTGAAAGGTGCCTGAGAGATCTCGAATCTCCTGCTCCAAATCCTCGTTGTTCACCGCGATGCGCTCGCAGTCGGTCTCACGAACGAAGACGTGCATTGCACCCCCGCTGGTGGGCGGCCATTCCGTTGTGGCATAGATGAAAATGGGTGATCCACCGGGGTGGGTCTCATGACTTGTCTCAATACATGACATATTTCAAGTCTGATTAGTTGAAATAGACCCACGAAATCCCACAAAATCCCACGACCATGACGACCTCCAAATCGCTCAGGTCGACCTCCAAATATGTTTGAACACTCCCAAAACCCACAAGCTAGTGGTAGGGCATACACATGCATATACTAGGCATGTATAAACCCCTTGGACTGCAGTGGTATACTCTACTTGTAACTTCTGGGAGCCACCCTCATGGCAGAAGTGCAAGAGGTGCTTCTCCAATCCCTTGGGTGAAGAGGCTGTTTGAAACTGGGGGAGTGTAATGTGTGTAATTGAGTGGTGTTTAGAGTAGTGGTGCGGTGCCATTCCCGACTGGTAGAAAAGGCTGTTTGAAACACCTGTTCAGCACTTCAACAGCTTCGCAGGGTCTCACAGCGCCTCCAACGTCAGCAACTCGCCATTGAAATGGTGCTTCGCAGCATTCATCTCATTCTCGAGGGCCTGGCGGATGAAGCCGCAAGCTCCCGTACGATCGACCCGATACGGCGCATGAAACGCCGAATGGCTATGGCTTGAACATAGGGTACCATCCAAACCCTTGGAGGCAAGGAAACTGGTCTAAGACCTGGGTTGTATTGTCTGAGCCACATCTATATCAAGATATATCAAGCGTACATCAAGCCAAGCTTTCATTCAACAAACATTGCTGAGGGGATGGAAAGGGATCAACCATGATAAATCCTCCTGTTGCGGGAAACTGCCTCGGAGATTACTTATCTTTGACAGCTGAGCACGTGCAAGAACCCCTCCTTAAACATCAGATTTATCAGAGCTCGTCGACTACCAGGATGGGGCAACATCAACTGTTTAAACCATTCATCCTGACCTCTTCTACCAAATATTGCTGAACGATTGGCCTGATTCGCGAAAAAGCAACCACCCGTACGAACTTACAAATCTGATATATGATATATCCAATTTACAGCTTGTTGAAAGAACATACAGTAAGAATGTTTCAAAACACACAAACACACACACACAATACAAACTCACAGCGCCACAGGAGTCCACAGGAGCTTTTGTCGTAAGAATTCCTCATCCGAGGCTTGTCGGTGAGCCACGAGCCACAGTCACTAAACCCCCGCTCCTCTCGGTTCGCATTCTCAGCATCCCAAGAGGACCTGGTGGGTGGATAGGGCGTGGACAGGCGGTAGTGGTAGGTGTGGACTGAAGCAAACATACTCTCAGCAAATCCCAAGAATGCAATGCGTGTTCAGGGGGCAAACACATCTTGTACTGAGAGTGAGGTTCCCTTCCTGGACCTAGCCTCTTAGCAACAAGGCTCAGTTCTTTTTTGCAAGAGTGGAATACAACTAAGGCATCCGACTCTCCCGATTCACAGAAACTCATGTTCAAAAAAAACAATATTCACAGAAATTGCAAGACCGACGCCAACTGCACCGACATAACCGAGCTAGGCTGCTCTTGGAAAGGTGCAGTGATTCATATTCGCTCGCCAATATCACTGCCAATATCTTCACAACATGGTAAAGGATGCAATTCGCTTGTCTGTATCATTCACTTGGGCACACATCCATAGAACCTACCAGGCCTCCCCTTTCTGCGGTGGGACCTTTGCCGAGACTCACCGGCAGCCGACACGTCTTCCTTCGTTGCCTCCAGAAGGAAGCGTCCCCGGCCAGGTGCTTCACCTCATCCATCAACGCCTCGTGAGCGGCGCTCCAGATTCGAACCGAAATGGGCGACAATTCAGACCTACTGAATTGTTACTCAAAGGCGCATCGAAACACAAACGAAGCATGTCATGTTCTCTATATAGAGGTGTCTATAAGAATACATTGGATCAAGCCTACAAAGGCATAAACACAAACACAAGGCACGTCGGAGGAAGAAAAGCTCAACACGTTCTTCTGGCGACTCATGGTGGCTCCAATTCCCGCAGATTGGCACCTCCTGCTCAGTCAGAAGTCTGACGAGCTCCTTGCTGCTTCATCTTTGTCAGAACAAAGGGAGATCTGAGACAACTCAATAGACCAAAAGTGTCAGCAAGTTCGGATTCCTGTATACATACACCAGGGGTATCCAGGGGTGGTCTCATGCTCAACTGTGTGAGCCAAACTGACATTCCATGAGGGTAGTGGGAGAAAATGTGATACACTATTGCATTTCCAATGCTGAGTCTTGAAACACACACTGTAAAGAGAGGGTGTGGTTTCCTCATTCCATTCTGTTAAGACCTGACTGTGGGCTCTGCTTGTCATCGGTTCAAAAAGTGGTCGTTTCCGGCTTCGAAGGGTGATCACGTGCTTTTCCAAGATCATTGGCAATTAGACGCTTCAATCTTTTTGACACGAATCTGACCAACATGGACCCATTCCTACTGAGACTGATATGGCGAGATGACGTCCACAGTGCACAGCTCAAGGATTCTGAGATTCTGGGAACTCCTTTCCGCAAGAAATGCCTTCTTTCCTCTCTTTGCGACCGTTGCTCGGTCCTGGTCACATTCTTGCACCTCGCCGTCCATGGCCTGGCAACGCCCCGAACGTCCGTGCAACCCTCTGAATGTGTCGCCAAAGGTTCCATTTACTGCACATGGTCGCACAATAACCATGACGGGTCCCCATGACGCGTCCCCACAATCGTCCCAAATGTGGGCGATGATGATATAGAATTGTATATATATAGATACATAAATATAATTTGCACCTACACCGCAGTGAACTGTTGACGGGAAAGAACTCCATGCGGTTTGACGCAAATCCACAAGGCCTTGAGTCCCTGAGTCTCAAACACATTTTTTGAGTTCCAAGTTCCACCACCACGTGAGTAGGTGGAACAAGCACTTCGCCCGGTGGATCTTATCTTCGCCTCAATCTGTTTGTTGGTGAGTGCCACTTCCGCCTGAAGCGATGCGACTGTGGGTGGGCGGGGAATGTCTGGACCTGTCGTCGGTCGGCCGTCGGTTGAGTCCGGTTCATGGTATAGCAAGTGATCCGGTTGCGCAACGACTGGATATAAAATAATGTCGTGGTTTTCCCCACATGACACATGCTGATAGTGCAAAGTCTAATTAAAATCACACATGTTTGCAAACTCCCTGGTCCACCGACAAGTGTGTGCTTGAAAAGTTTGCCGTTTGCTTCCCAAAGCTTGGGAAAATGAATTGTGTGTCTCGAGAAATTGTTTACTGAAAAATATGCAAGAATCCAACTGTTCCAAGACTTCGTCTGTTCACATCACCCCGGGTAAAACCTGCTTGAGGCTTCAAACATATTGAAACCAATTCTGGGATGGGGATGGCATGGGATGGGCGTACTTGACACATACTCGAACAACCCTACAATAAAATTGGACAATAGCCCTAAGAAGGACACATATCCTTTAACAAGAACGCTACTAGGGGCTCCTGGCATCGCTACTAGGAACAATGATGCTACTAGGGGCTCCTGGCCTTACTACTAGGAACAAGAAGTTACTAGTATATATATAACAAAGGGCATCGCTACTAGGAGCAAGGACGCTACTAGGTTGGAGGCCATCGCTAGTAAGTTGGAATGACTTCAACACAACATTGTTTTTCACGTCCGCTTTCACGGAGGGTCGCACTTCTTCCGACCTTCGTGCGTGACAGGCTGAGGCCAAGATCCTGTTCGACTGTGAGGCCAAGATCCTGTTCGACTGCCGGCCTCAGCCTGTCGTTTCACCTCCACCAAACGCTCCTCAAAGGGTTCTTGGCCTCAACGGAATGGAACGACATGGAGCTGGAACGAGGCGTGGAAACGAAGTGGCCTAGTGTTGTTGTTGTTGCCGCAAACGAAAGTATGGCTAATATGTATGTACTGTATACTGTATGTATTATATAGTCGTCATTGGATGTGGCCATTGCAATTGATCATACCAAGGTTAAACAACCACAATAGAATGTAGAGACCCTGGCCTGATGCGTCAACTGTCTCCGTGCCTTCAAGGTTTTTTTAAAGGCACTTCTAAGATCGTTCCAAACACCCACAAACCAAACAAGATCAAACAAGTGACCAGGCCTTGTGGTCTCTAAATCAAGCGATCCGAAAATCACCAAACGCACCTATCAGCCACCTCAACACCCGGGGCCAGCACACTCCTGCAGATCTTGGCCGCTCTTCTCCTGCAAATCTTGGCCGCGGAACGGCCAACTGGGTTGAACCAAAAGGGTCATCTGTTCATTCCACGGTGAAAACTATATTCCACCTTTTGGCAACGGCCTACAACGGGCAAAACATAGATGCAACAGGATTCACATTTTTGGACAGTTCGGGGGGGGCAATTGCATGCAATTGCGGACGTCTCTGAACAAACACAATGAACCACGCCATGTAGCTACCACGGCTACCGTTAAGTTGTAAAAACAAATGACAGCTACGTAAAGTGCTGATTATTGACTGCGCTTGAGTTTTCAACGTGCTCTTTCTCTTTGCCTGCAATGTCACTTGAAATTGCTGGGCCCCATGTCACTTTGTTGCATGTGAGAGCCAAATCTCTGCACTCACAGCCAACTTTCTCCTCCAAGCGAGCTTGTTGTTCATGCAACTGCTCCTTCAAATGGTCGTTGCTGCTGACCTCAAAGCAAACCACCCACACAGGTTCCTGAAGGTCTGGGATCTCCAAGCGGTCACCAGTTTTGCAAAGTATAGGGCGCCTTTGGACACATTGGAAACGAGACCGAACTATTCTTGCCTAGGAACAATTACGATTTCGCAGCTTTTGTACAAACCTCCAACCCTTACATGAACCTTCGAGATCGAGATCCACTGTACAAACGCAACAAAAGGAACTTGAAAGATAAACTGTAACTACAACTAGAAGGCAATAACAAAACAGGGCAAAATTGTGCAAACCCTGGATCCCCATCCTCGACATTTGAAGAACAGAAATGTTCAAACATGGACAAACAAAAAACATACTGAACACATCTAAACACCACCAAACCTGCTTATTTTTCCCGTTCTGCAAACTTTTGTCAAGCCACAGCTGCTGCCAAGGCATCCTTGGCCTCACGCGCCTGGCGCTGCAGCTCGTGGACGACCTTCATGGATGGCGCGAAGCGATGAGGATGCCGTGTAACAAAGGGTGAATATATATTATTTTTTTTTGTGGATTCTTGTCCGGCCATTTGTGGGATTTTTAAGAGCAAAAGGAGCAGGAGAAAGATAAGCAAAAGGGAGGGAGGGAGGAACAGGGAGAGAGGACAAGAGTGCAAAGGAGAAGGAGCAAGGGGAAAAGGGAGTTTGCATGATTTTGCCCTCCTCTGGCTCACTAGTGGTCTGCTACAGTGGAGTGGGTCCTTCCTGCTCTAAATTGGGCTACGCTACGTTGGAACGGTTCCTTCCTCTTCAATTTGTTTTATACCCTTGGGCAGCTCACCAAAGGTTTGCTAATGGCCCTTTCCGCCCAAATTCTATCGGCGGGTGGCTCACAAACAAGCTCCTGCCTCCTCTAGATTTGGTCCTCGGGCGTTTGTCTCTTCAACGTTACTGACTATCTGTATCAGTGCAAGGCGAGAGCAAGGATAGGCCGACTCCATGTTCCGGTTAGGCCGACTCCCTCAATGACACGCTTGTGATAACATGCTCCACGCGCTGTTTTGGCTCAATGCACGTTGGGAGGTCCACTCCTAGACGAGCCCAGACACACCGAGACAAACAAACAAACGCACAGAAGGTATGGCCTCTTGCCACATTGGAATGGCCTCTTGCCTCTTCCTCCTCTAAATGTTGCCCTCGCGTGGCTCACAGAAGGTGCACTACGTTGGAACGGCTGATGCCTGCCCTAAATTTTACCATCGGGTGACTCACAAATGGTGGCTCGCGAAAGACATGCAGCATTGCAATGCCTATGAATGGCTCCTTCCTCCTCTAAACGTTGCCCTCGTGTACTGCACAACAGGATACAACAGGCATGCTACGTTGGAACGGCGGCTGCCTGTAAATTTACCCTCGGGTGGCTCACGGAAGGTATGCGGCATCATGCTCCTTCCTCTAAAATTTACCTTTGGTTGGCTCACAGAAGGTCTGCCAGGTGGCCCCTTCCTCCACGATCTTCGATCAAAGCGAAAGGATTGTGACAAGGTAGCTTCCGAGGCGCCAAAGCTAAAGCAAAAGCAGAAGCAAATCCATAAGCAAAAGCAGAAGCAGGAGCAAAAGCAGAAATGGGAGCAGAAGCAAAACACTACACAGTATACCGGATTAAAGAAAATAACACATCCCACACATGGCAGGAAAAAGAGATCCCAGATTTAAAAAATAATAATAATAAAACAATGTTCCTGTAACATTGTATATATATATATGTACACATACATTTACAATCATTTACATCATTGCAATTGATATTATTTGATGTTGTTGTCGAGCTGTTTGATGTTGTTTGCTGGATTTTGTGGTCTCAAACCATTCAAGTGATTCATGGTAGTGTCATACCGCCATACCTTTTTCCTGAGCCTTGTATGGTGAACCTCTCGCTTCTACGCATCAGCTTGTAGAGGCATGTAGGCGCGCCGACTGCAACGACCGGCTCGTGCAGGCGAACCCGGCCTTCGTGAGGCTCTGTGTTTCCGCCAGCTTCGAGCTCAGTGCCGTCTCAGTGAGCGAGGACGCCCGCGTCAAGGTCTCAAAATCGGCCTCGAGTCACGCATCACGAAAAATCGATTCAGCAAGGGAGCAAGCTCCAAAAAAAAAATTATCCTCTCTCATGTTTATCTTGTTATCTTCTAAACTCGGCACCAGGAGTTTGGTGGTGATTGTCCAAACATCTTCGGTACGAACGTCTGAAACCTGCTTTCGAAGCTGTGCCCGCACTGACAGTCACCCAGGTCAAGCATTCACAAGCTGGAAGGGTTCTAGAAGTTCATCAAATTGGTTTCAGTGTTGCCGTGTTGCCTTTGGGCTTCTCAACATACAGACTCATGCATGCAGTACAGGCGCACCCTTGCTACACTTAAGTTTGGGGTGGGAAGGAGGACCAGTGACCGTGGCTTAAACATTGGTGCAAGGCCCAAAGATGGTGAATCTCCCCCCAAATAGCAGTACCTGCAATCTAGGGCCTAGGAGGTGTCCATACAACTCTGTCCCAAAGGGGACCATTCATTCAGCCACTTCATCCTCGCCGTTGGCACCTCACATGTCTCCAGCTGCGCAAGTTGTTCACGGCACTGCTCCTCCATCCGTGTGCGCTCCTGGAAAGGGCAACACTATATAGACTTGAGGCCCCGTTTGAAACAACATGGCCTCAGCGGAACAAGAGTGGACTCCTCTTGGCTAACAGCTTAATACCCTTTCAACGCTGTACATCAATAACCGCCCAAAAGACTTCGGGAACACACCTGCGACATCTTGCGACTGGTCACGGATTCAAAGGGATCTCTAGTGAGCCACTGACTTCATGTAATGTAATAACCAACAAACATTGTGAGAAGACGACAAGAACTATATATAACACGTTTATCCTTTTGTGAGAAGGTGAACCCAGCAATTAAACAAAACCTCTGGATCTGGAGTCATTCTCAATGGGCCGCGTTTTTTTAAAAGGATTTTTTCCGTTTTTTTTGGGGACTTTTTTTCTGGTCCTGTTGTGGGCGCCTTCCCTCAGGCTCGTGTCTCCAAAATGATAGTTGTTTCTCCGTGCGAGACCCCAGAAGTGACATAGGACTCCTCCAAAACGAGCGTTTCGTCCAAGACTTCCGTCACAAGCAACAGGGGATTCTCCAGGTATCCTTTCGTGCCAGACAAAAATAGCCACCAGAAGCTAGCAAAAGCTACCAGAAGCCACCAGAAGCCAACAAAAGCCAGCAAAAGCCAACAGAAGCTAGCAAAAGCTACCAGAAGCCACCAAAAGCCACCAGAAGCCAACAAAATAGCCACCAGAAGCCAACAAAATAGCCACCAGAAGCCACCAAAAGCCACCAGAAGCCACCAAAATCCAACAGAAGCCAACAAAAGCCACCACAAGCCAGTAAAAGCCACCAGAAGCCAGCAAAAGCCAACAGAAGCTAGCAAAAGCTACCAGAAGCCACCAGAAGCCAACAGAGATACCTAATGCCTAAACGTGAAAAAAAATCCAAAAAAAAAACGAAAAAAAATCCTAGAAAAATATGAGTTCCTTCTCAATGGGGGGGTATATTACAATATATAGGGAGAGAGCGAGAGAGAGAGAGAGAGAGAGAGAGAACCGATAGAAGCTTCTTTGATTTTGGAAGCCCCTCTCCTCGACCCAGGAGTGCCTTTCTTCCAACTGTCGCTTTTCCAAGGCCTGACCGTGACACGACCTCCTCCAAACACTCTGAAGTTGAGAAATAAGGGACACTGACACCGACTTTGGAATTCATGTAGTGTCATGAACTGACATGAATTATCCCAAAATGTCACAAGCCTTACACGATACTCGATACTAGCAAACAACCAGGCTAGAAAACACGCTGGAATTGTATGTTGTACAATGTATCACCCTTCAAGTTGACACGATTGAACTCCGTCCTTGCCAAACTTCCAACAAAATGAACAAGAAACAAACACATCCATCATGTTTCCCTCAAACATGACTTCAAGGTACTCTCCCACATCTTACAATGTGCAGCGTTGCAGCCTTTCGGTGTGGATTCAGCCAGAAATGGCCAAACAGGCAAATGCGGCATCCCCACTAAAGCTGCTCTGACAATCCACGGCTTGACCTGTTTCTGGACAAATACCAGCCTGTGTGAGCAGAATCCTCTGGTCGAAGCCTAAGCCCCCCTGGTTGGTGGACGTCCAGAGTTGTCCGAGCTGAGTCGCCATCGCCTGTAATCGCGCCTCCAACTGTGAGCACTCCCTGACACGAGGACCGTGGCCGCGGTGGCCTGTAAGACCGTTACTCGGTGGAGGCCATCGCTACTAGGGTGGAGGCCATTCCTACTATATAGTAACAAGAAGCTACTAGGCACAAAGGGCACCGCTAGTAGGAGCAAGGACGCTACTAGTAGCTCCAGGCATTACTACGAGTAACAAGAAGCTACTAGTGGGTCCTCTCATTTGGACTCAAAGGTGCCCGGTGCCCAGTGGGTTCAGTGGGTTGCTTACGGCAATCGTTCCCTCCAAAACCAGGCCTTTGCGGTTTGATCTGTTGTAACGACCCACCGGTTGGATCTTCTGAATAGCAGCATAGGAAATTGCAGCCTGTTTAAGCGACACTACGGCTTGGCTCTATAGACATGGAAAATAGAGCTTCTCAAGGCCATGTGCCTCTGTTTAGGCCGAGAAGGAAAACATACAAAAACAATCAACAACACCTGAACAAATTAAATCCATGTAAGATTCTGAAATCCGTACTATCCTCCCTTAACAACTGCATAGAGTGACAGTGATAGTGATACTGTAAGACCCATCACAATACGCCCGCAGGAAGAATCATCGGTACTGCACAAAACAAAGGTGCGTCCAAAAATTGTTAGGAAAAGGAAACAAGTCAGCGCATTATAGAGCCACGTGTCCATATCAGATCTCCATTCAATTTCTCTTTGTAGGGCGTCTTTGTTGAACTATATAAATTTGAACTTGGTCTTCTCGAAGAAATGCCAACATGTCCTTAATCAAGGTTTCACCGGTTTCGAGGACAGACCTCAAGCCTCATGCCGGATCGTGCGCCGGCCTCACCAGACGAGCTTGAAGATCCTCCTTGTCAGTCTGCAACTCCCTCAGCACAGCAACGCGACTCCCTCCGCCGACTCCCTGCGCTACTGGAGAACAGTTCGACTATCGAAGCTGTTACAGCTGTGGAAGTGCGCTCCAATGGCCTAAGGGCCTAAGACTCTGACTGTCTGTGGGCAAGCAAATTTTCTTGGCTGGCAGGCATTCTTGGCTTACGACACATTCTTTGAATATAAATACGGAGAACTTCTACAATGATCTCCCACATTAACAGGGTGGCCCTCAAAGTCCAAGTCCCACCAAACTCATGGAACCTTCATTAGTTGGGCACTGAAGCCCTGATCTTCCCCATCTACCCACCTGAGGCGACCTGGCCCATACTTGCGACCCCACTGGAGGCTCTCCTGAGACTGAGTGGGCCTGAACCCTGCCTGATGATCTGACTCGAACGTCAATCTCACTATACCAAAAACTTGCGAACGACACCAACCTGTGCAACGCCGGCGGAGCCATCGGAAGTCTGTCCTGATGTCGTTCCTCCCGCTCTTGCGAGAGCTGACTTCGTAGGCCGCCTGGAACATCAACATCGAAGGCTCCAGAGTTGGAAATGGATGGGTATGGGAGCTCTCATGCTTCCAATGTGGTGCAGGGATTATGTCCATGGACCGTACGAAGTGTCGGGTCAATATGTATATATAGAGCATATGAAACGCGCAAACGACCTTTCTGCTCGAACGGGCTTTGGGCCTAAATGCCCATCGTGCGGAGTAAAGTGCAACCCCATGTTCGAATGACTGCTTACTCATGACTTTCTGACACTTCTCCTTCATTCAAACATGAGGTGCAAATGCGGACCGCTCGTGCCACAGCAAAATGCGGGCATTCCGAGCTAAAGTGGAGGACACGTCCGCTGGGAGTCATGCTGAGCTTATGAAATCTCCTTTCGAGCTTCATACTGTACTTTTCAGCAATCTCTCTTTCCAGCAAAAAATCGTTGAGCTTCTCTTTCATCATCTTCAGCTCTTGCTCGAGTTCCTCCACATATAGGTCCTTCAGAAACAGCTCGTTTGCTGTCTCTTCGAGCTCTCGCTCAAGTCGAGCGTTGGGCACTGACACTTGGGTCTCCTGGTCGACTCTCTTCACTTCCACGCTCAGGTCGAGACCCTTGATCCGTGCCATCACCTTCATGGCCTCCCGGATGAAGTCCCTCGTGCCCTCCAAGAGCTCATTGACGTAGCCCCTGGTCCATCTGACCACGCTCAAGGCCCCTATGCATGCAAGGGTGCATAGCATCATCATCCATGCCCAACTTGTCTCTTCTCCTTCTTTCGCTTCTGTTGGGGTGCTTCCAACTTTGTTGATCGATGCGAGCAGCATCAGCAATCCAATTCGCAAGTCCTTGTTCTTGCCGAACTTCTTCACTCCCTGCTTCATTGTGTGCTGCTCTTCGATCTCCCGGAACTCCTGCTCACCCACTCGGTCACCTACTGCGTCCACCATGCGCAGCATGAACTGTAGGCCCCTCAACCTTTTCTTCGGCAAATTCTTGGTGCCGATGTCTGCGCTGTTGAGGTCGGTCGGGATTGCTGCCACGGTCAGGATCTTCTCTCGCTCCTTTTGTTGTATCCAAAGCATTGAGGCATCGATGTGCCTGACTCTTCCAATCCCCTGTCTCTGGGTCATCCCTCTGGCTGCCGAGCTGTCTGACCTCGCCTTCATCTGACACTCTTCTCCTGTGATCTTGTTCCACAAATGTCTCACCAGCATACCTTCTGAACAGCCTGCCACCAGCGCCATGAACTCGCTTTCTCCTGACGAGAGAGCAATTGCTTTCTGGCAGCGAACTTTGCTGTCAATGAGGTTGCCGTCGATGAACACCTGCATAGAGGTCGTTGACTTCCTGTCGTTCTTGTTTCCGGCATGATCTGAGTCAGTGACCACTTCTACTAGATGTCTGCCGGCATCTTCTACCTCCTCAACTTCTCTGAAGTCCATCATTGATTGGCCTTTCCTCCTTTCTTCAAGCCTCACTCCGTAGCCACCTGTACCAAAAAGGTATGAACAGGTGTGCCAGGCGTTCTTCATGGCATCCTTTGTGGGCTTCGCCATGTGTCGTGCGAGACACTGAATGGCGTACTGTGCGTCAGGGCGTTCTCCAGCCATGTACATCAGGCGCCCCACAATGCTCCTGTATCTTGTGATTTCTTCTCCTTCCAGGGCTTCGGAGTCATCCTTCTTCGTGAAATTGGCATCCAGTGGGGTCTTCCTGTAGAACTTTGAGTAAACATCCACCTCCTTCTCAAAGCTGTCATACTGCTTCCGGTCGCACCTGATGTCACAGTGCCTCATGCCCAGGTTGAACTGCCTCTTCAGGTAGAAGAACTTATCGCCCTGCCTGAATGGACCTTTCTCCTCCACATTCCACTTCTTCTTCTCCTTGAAATATTGGATCAACTCCCTCACTTTATCTTCTCGTCCCACCATGAACACATCGTCCACGTGGACAGTGAGGTACAAGAGGTTTTCCAGCATCATCAGCGTGGGCTGCATTAGGTCTTGGGCCATGCCGAACTCCCTGCACGCCGATGCGAACAGGCCAAACCATTGTGAAGCTGCTGTCCTCTGACCTGGTAGGCATCTCAGCAGCTTATAGATGTGCTCTTCTATCTGGACATAGGCCCTCTCGGCGACTGGCTGTGTTGCCATCAAGAAAGCATCTTTGATGTCTAGTGTGACCACCACGAATTCGCTCCTCACATTCAACAAGTAGTGAATCAGCATCTTCGGCAACATCATCATCGATGTTGGAGCGAATGTGGCTTCAAGATCAATACTATTCTTGAACTGTCTAGCCACCAGCCGTGCTCTGCGGAACCAACCTCCTTTCTCCAAGCGATGCTTCCAGCACATCACCATCTTGGTGCTGATGATGTAGCCCTCATTTTCCTCTACATCTTCTTTCCGCACCTCCACCATGGCAGGCATTTCTAGCATCCTCTGGATTTCCACATTGCATGCCTCCTTGTCCAGCTGCTTCAACTCCTCCTCGGTCACCTCCGGCGGGTCATCGCCTTCGTCTCCTCCATAACCCATCCATTGTTCCTCCACCAGTTCATCCGGCATCAGCTCCATGTCCACATCTTCATCTCCGTGTGGCTCCAATCCAACTGCGTCAATTCCAGCATAATGTGGGGGGTATAGATGCCCTGTGCCGTGAGTTGGCGACGCTCTCGGTGACCCTTCAGGCTCTCTTCTCCTCTCATCATCTTCTGATTGATGCTCTGACCTCAATCTCCCCTTCTTCTCTTCTTCCTCATCTACTTCTTCTCCTTGCCTCTTGGTTGCACTCCTTCTCGGGGATTCTGTTGCATCAAGCTTCTTGGTTTCACGCTCTCTTTCACTCTTCTCCTCATCCGCCAGTGGTCTCTTCACAGCGGCCTTCGTGGGTGTCTGTGGTGCTTCACTGGTTTTGGGTCCTGTCACTGTGAGCGTAATCCCTGGTGTCATAGGTTGGCATCCTGGAGCCGGTGTCACAACACCTGTTGCCACATCTTGAGCAATGGCAGTCATCTCTTCCTCGTTCACCTCCATCTCGAGTGTGGGTTGCCTGTACCTCTGTGCCTTTCCAGCGTGCTTCATCAGGATGCCTTGCGCTGAGTAGCACCAAGGTAGGCCCTTCGCTGTGAAGATCTCAGGGCCATTGAAGCTGTCTTCAGGCGACAATCGTCTGATCGTCCTTGACTCATAGGCTCCTGATGTTGACAGGATCACATGATTGTCATTCCATGGATGCTTTGTCACCCAGACGCCCTTCTCGAAGACTGCACTGCCCTTGTTCCTGACTGGCCTCTTGAACAGCACGCTCTCTCCAAACAAAGCCAACTTCCCTCTGTATGGGTGCCCGGTTGCCAGCTCAAAACTAGTTCTGTTGGTGCCTTCCAGAACCCGGAATCGGTTGATCAAGAAGGATGCATGCTTGAACGACCAGGGGTAGATGTCAAAATCTCCCTCTATGTTGATGCGGGCTCTATCTTCAGCAAACCAACGCAAGCAGTTGGCCATTTTCCTTATTGTCTGAACTGCTCGTTCCACTTGGCCGTTCGATGCATGCTGGCCAGCCCCAGTCAGTCGGATCTCCGTCTTCATGCCCAGCACGTTCCTGACCTGTTGCACCGATCGTAGGATTTGCCTCGTTGCACGTTCACTGTCAGCTTGTATGATGCAGGCGTCCCGTGCTGAGTTCTCCAAGGCAAACCTGACAATCTCTTCTGTGATGGTCTTTAAACTGGCGCTCCCTTTGCTTGGAACCGGCACTGCATGGATTGCCTTCGTTTCTGAACTGGTCATTACCAGTACTGTTCCATGCTGGTCTTGCCTTTCCATGATCTTGTCCTGCACTGGCCTCTCTGACCGATCCTCCTCCCCGGTGTAGGTGTAGCAAAAGTCGATCTGAATGATGTTCTTCCCAATGTCCTCCTTGTTCTCGGACTTTTCGTATTTGTCCTCCTTTGATCGGCTTGCCACACATGCTTGGCACCAGGCCGCAAACGGCCAATGTGTCACATTGTGCAGCTCCTGTTCGGCCAGACTTGGGAGCTTTGGTTGCCCAAGTGTCACTGGCCTTCTTCTCTGTTCGTTGTAGAGCTTGTGAGCCACTGCCAGGTGCATTTGGTTCTCTAAGTTCACCTTGAACGCTACCAGGCGCTCTAGCAGCTTCTTCTTGCTTCCTGTGTAGGCCAGCTGTCGTTCTTTGCATGCCAGCTGGAGCTCTTTCACAGTCATCTTCTCTGAAAATGTGACTTCATCCAGCTCCACTTCATGCTGGCGTTCTGCCACCACCATCTTCTCTATGTCATGGTGCATCTCCTGGGCCTCCAACTCCTCGAGTTCCTCAACCTCTTCTTCTGACCACTCCAGGTGTCCAAATGCTCCTTCAGTCAGCGGGTAAGGTGCTACTGGAACTTCACTGTCTACCTCCCAGTAGTCCTTGAAGTGCTCTGGGGCAAAGAAGCTTAGGGTCCTTTGAGGTTCTGTCGAACAGCTGATCCTCCGAAAAGCGCTTGGACCCAGTTGATTGAAATCATCAGTCTTCTCAAGTTGCTCCCAAAGGCCATCCTTTCCTTTGACCAAGGTCATCCTGGCTTTATAGATCTTCTCGATGCTGCCAGTCGGGTCCACCAGCTGAGTCGCTACAGGGTCGCTATAGACTGCCACCCCGTTCGGCAATCGATGCCAGCCGGGGGTCATCTCCAACTCCTGGACATACTTGCTCAAATAGCCTTGTAGCACTTGTACTCTTGCTGCTCCTTCCTCACTCTTCTGCTCTTGATCCACTTTGTCTTCACTGGTCAGCACAGCGAAGATCCTTGCTTCGCATTGTAGTGAGTTCCTCTCCATATTCAGTGGGATGTCCACGGACCGTCCTTCATGTCTGAGGTGCAGACTGCCCTCGACCTCACCCAGCGACCATCCTCGCTTCAAGAGCTTCCCAGCACAAAGTATGGGGTGCTGCACACTCCCCAGGGCGAAGTCCTCGTAGATCTCCACAACTTTTCCTTTCCGGTCCACCATCCTGATTCTTGCTCTGGTCATCCCATTGTGAGGGATCTTCTTTCCTTGGGCGTCGACCATCTTCAACTGCTCTCCTGCTTCTTGTCTCTCGCCCACACCTGCATAGTCTTTGGGTAGCACGGAGATGTCTGCCCCACTGTCAACCGTGATCAGGCAGTTTCCATTCTCCTCCTGGTCCTGTCTCCTCACCATGCTCACCATCATCTCCTCAGGGTCTTGCAAATCCATTGCAACAATCGTCACCTCATCTGGTACCTCCACTGCCGGTTCATAGCAGTCGAAGTACTCTGACCCTTCAGCCTCATAGAACTCCTCCATCTCACGTATCTCAACTTCAATCATTCCCACGCGCCATGGGAAATCTTCTCCTCTCTCTTCCCTTGGTGTTGTGAGATCAAACACTTCAAGGGATGCTGCCTCTGGCGGAGTTTGCAGCCTCACCATCTTGACTGAAGCCGTAGTTGTTGTAGCTCCAGTGTTGCTCGCATTGTAGCCTATCGATGACGAGCTCGCTCCTCCTGCATTCTGCTGCTCTTCCACTTGATTCACTCTCTTCCAACATTCTCGGGCGAAGTGTCCTGTCTTTCCGCATAGATGACAAGCTCCACTCTTTGTTCCCTTGCCACCTTTGTCTGATGCTTTGCCCTTCTTCGCAAAGCCCTTCTCCCAGAAACTCTTCCCTTTGTCTCCTTTTCCTGAACCTTTGCCTTCTTTGCTGCCATACTTCCCTTTATCCTTTCCTTTGTCTTTTCCTTTGACCTCTTTTCCTTTCCCCTTGTGGCCTTTCTTCCCTTTGCCAACTTTGCCCACATAGTCGACCTCCATTGGCGTTGCCTCATCACCAGTTGCTCTAGTGGGGAACAGCAAGGAGTTCGTTGAGTCCCATTTTGTCGTCACCGCCTCAAGCTGGATGATCCTGTCTTTGAGTTGCTCATACGTGGTTGCATCCGTGATCCATAGATGCAAATGCTGGCGGATCTGCAAAGGGCAGGCCAACAGAATTGAAGCCACCTTGGCATCATCTGAGTACCTCTGAGATGATATCCTCTCGTACTCCATGACCAACGCCTCGAACTGCGGCAGCTGTTCGGACACTGTCTTTCCCTCAGCGAACTGAATTCGTGAGAGCTGGCTCAAAAGTGCTAGAGCCCTTGCTCTCGTTGCAGGCTGCATCTCCTTCAGCAGACATTGCCATGCCTCGAAGCCATTCTCGTTCTTCACATGGCGGATCAGTTTCAGCGGGCGCTGTCTCACATACGAAGTCAATAGGCTGTAAAGCCTCACGGCCCTCGACTTCGTCTCATCTGTCATGTCTTCGAACTTGTAGCTGCCATCCATGTTGTTCTCAACCATGTCCATGCTGGCTGCCATAGACGGGTCAAGTCCCTTCACGTAGTTGAGGAAACCAAACTTCCAGTCTCCCCACAGCCTCAACTCAGCCTCTCTTCCTTCTGGCTTGAAGACGTCCGGGGCCTTCAAGTGTCTGGCCCATCCTTGGGCATTTTGAGTTCTGGCCAACCTCTCTAGGGCTGCTGCCACTTGCCTCAGGCTCTCCTCAGCCATTGACTTCCACCCGAAGATCCTGGGGATGAAAGTTCTTGTCTCCACTGGTGCAAGGGATGTCGGTGTCCCAAACTCCAGGCCGGCGTACTTCGGGATGTCCCAGAATTGCCAGTTGTACACTAGCTCACTGGTCTCCTCTTCACCTGCTGCGTCTCGTAGGGCTTCGATGCGCTCCACGAACCTCCACTTGGCCGGTACCACCACGACCACTTCCTTCAGTTCTTCTTGGTCCTCCTTCTGTGCCACCACTATGGATGCACGCGCAATCCTCTCGCTCTTTATCCACTTGATCTTGCTGATGTGCCCTTCGGTCTCTAGCACCAGCGTGTGGATCCTCCTCACACGGCTCTTGCAGGTCAGGGGCAACACCGAGTTGGACTGGTAGTATTGAACTTCCTGTGCCGTCGAGGTGCCAATGCCTCCAGCTAGACCTGCTAGGATCAAAAGCTCGAGGATCCAGATCGAAGCGAAAGATGGACCTTCCCTGGATCGAGTTGTCCTCCTTCTCCTCAATGGGGATGTCGTGGAGCTCAAGCTCTTCGTCGTGCTCGTAGTGACCGTGGGTGGCGGAGCCCCGGCTCTTACGGCCAGGGCTCCGCTACCATGAAACGCGCAAACGACCTTTCTGCTCGAACGGGCTTTGGGCCTAAATGCCCATCGTGCGGAGTAAAGTGCAACCCCATGTTCGAATGACTGCTTACTCATGACTTTCTGACAGCATATATATTATACTGTAGCTGCATTGATAGAAACATATAGAAACCAACATGCTACCCTCTTTGGGTTTTGTTCAGGTGGCCAGCTTCACAGCTGTTTTTTGACATCTGGAAAAGGCCTCACATCATGGGCTGAACACGACTCACAGCCTTTTCGCTGTTTCACACGGCGGGTTGCATCAATCAAGGGGGCTTCTCACCGCAGCCTTCTCGGCATGTCAGGTCCACATGTGCCGGCAGAGCCTTCGAGAAGGTCGCTCCATTCTGGAGAGTCAGATCCATCTTGATCTATACAGACATGTACAGGCAAGGACCCACGTCAGGTCTGAAGGTCTCAGAATCCAAGTCCCGGCCGCTTCGTCATGGCCGGTTCGTCATGTTCGTCTCTTGGCTGTTCCACCGGTGAACATGGTCGTCATGGACATGTTGAAAAGCTTATCTCATGATGCCTTAGTCCACATGAAACCACAGGCCCTGGAGAGAATTCAAGAGAAAAAAAACGCTGGCAATGGCTGGCATCAAGATGCTGGTTGTGGCAAGCAATCTAAACAATTATAAGTTGGGGCTCACCCTGAACAATGAACAAAGAATGCCCCTTGTAGCAACAAACATCCAAAGAACATTCGGAGGAGACGACTTTGAACGAGCAGTATATAACTAGCACACTCCCTTAATGAGAAAAACATGTGGAGAACTCCGCTTGACAATTTGTGCTTACTGTATCATTGCTAAAAACACTGCATATGTGGAAATACACGTCACAATGTCACAATTCGTAGTAGAATCTGTGTCAACTGTACGACATTTGAATAGTTTCAACTGATTCCCAAATTAATTGTGCGTTGGAACTGAAGCAAAAAAACAAAAACAAAAAAGTAGATGAAAGTAGTAGAAGGAAGGCACTTTTTTCAAGCCAATGTTCAGCCACTTGGTTTAAGGAAGCGATTTCGATCCAGCTGTAAAAGCCAAGTCTAACTCCAAGTCTACTACTCCAACCCTAAGCAGTGTGTGTGTTGGGACTCACTTGCGATCTCCGTCTTTTCAGAGAAAACATGTTCAGCTCTTCCTCGTTTCTGGTCGAGACGAACCCATTTCAATTGCCCAGCGACATCCTTCCCAACGGCCAGCTCGATGGCTCGAGCCGCTTCTGCGAGGCCTTTCTCCTCGCAGATCTGCTGTGGAGTCATGCCATGAAAGCTCCTGGGCTCGGAGCGAAACCTAATAACAGGGACGCTATTAAGTTGGAGGCCATCGCTATTAGCTTAAAGGCCATCGCTAGTAGCTTGGAGGCCATCGCTAAGAGGTGGAGGCCATCGCTGTTAGCTTTGAGGCCATCGCTATTTAATAGCTTGGAGGCCAACGCTCGTAGCTTGGAGGCCATCGCTACTAGCTTGGAGGCCATCGCTAGTAGCTTGGAGGCCATCGCTAAGAGGTGGAGGGCATCGCTGTTAGCTTTGAGGCCATCGCTATTTTAGCTTGGAGGCCATCGCTATTTAATAGCTTGGAGGCCAACGCTAGTAGCTTGGAGGCCATCGC